GTCCCCACTAGAATGTAAGCTCCCTGAGAGCTGGGACCTTATCTTTCTTGTTCAGTGATGTATTGCTACAGACTAGTACAATGCCTATTACACAATATTTATTGAAAGAATGACTCACAAACATTTGCCAAGTACGTATTATGTGCCAACCACTATACTAGGTAATAACAATGGATTTTTATAATTAAAGAAAAATAGAAAGTAGAAGATATTAGTATGAAAAGCTATTTGACGTTCTTTTTATGTTGACCATTTCCATTCTTTTTTTTTAAATTTTTAATGTTTATTTTTGAGAGAGAGAGAGACAGAGAGGGAGAGAGACGGTGTTAGTGGGGGAGGGGCAGAAAGAGAGGGAGACACAGAATCCGAAGCAGGTTCTAGGCTCCCAGCTGTCAGCACAGTCTGATGCGGGGCTCAAACTCAGAGTGATCATGACCTGAGCTGAAGTCAGATGCTCAAGGGACTGAGCCACCCAGGCACCCCGATCATTTCCATTCTTAAAATGAATACTTTATATGATAAATTCTACTTTTCAGAATATTATTTTGGCAGTGTAAAATATGAACATGCTTAAGGTAGTAATAATAATTAGTATCTCACTGCAGCTTTGGAAGTTATCTAGATGATGACATTCTTCATTTTTTAATGCACATTTTACACATTAGTTCCCACTAATTAAGCCATCACTCAGTAAAATACTATCTAGGACTCTTCACGTCATCACCATTTTCTCAGAATATGCATACAAACATTTCATCCAGTCAGAAAAATCATGACTCTAAAATTTTTCTGTTCTCAACATGCAAAAATATTCACAACATGACAATAGTGGTTGTCAACTCACCATTTATTCCCTGGCCTCAGATTAATTTACCAGCTCCATTCAAGCCAAGAAATGATCAAGTTCCAATTACTAATCAAGTTCATTTCACCACAGTCATTACTAAAATTAAGATTCGCCCCTCACCCCCCAAGGCCTATTATAATAGAACATGTCCAAATGAGTTCAGGCAAAAGAGTTACGTTTCATTGTTACCACAGTACTTTTAGATCCATCTAATTCAGAACCACAGAACAATACCTCAGTATCTGGTGTAAGCATACCAGTTATCACTACTATCATTATGACATCACTAAACACCTTATGGCAATGCATCAACTAGGAAGAAGATTTCAAGCTCAAGGCACTGACATTTCTCCAGATCTCATGTTTTCATATTTTAGCATACTTTAAAACTATCATATCCTGCCCCCAAATGTTGTAAGGGTTGAATATATTAATATTTTTAAAGTATAATTTATAAAATGAATCAAATTCGGTATAACTAGGCAAAAGTACTCAAAATACCACTATATCATACTAGATTTTTAAAACATAAAGGAAAGAAAGGGGCACCTGAAAGGCTTAGTTGGTTAAGTGTCAGACTTAATTTAGGCTCAGGCCATGAGCTTCCTGTTGTGAGATGGAGCCCTGCTTTGGGCTCCAGGAAGGGCACGGAGCCCGCTTAAGAGTCTCTCTCCCTTTCCCTCTCCCTCTGATTATACATTTTGAACAGCAAGGTATTCTCAAATGCATTCAATCAAATACATAAAGACATATCACTTCTTCTATTTAAAATTAGCTTTCAACGGGCAACTGGGTGGCTCAGTTAAGCGTCCAACTTCGGCTCAGGTCATGATCTCACAGGGAGTCTAAGCCTGGCATCAGAGTCTCCACAGACAGTGTGTAGCCTGCTTGGGATTCTCTCTCCCCCCCCCCTCCCCACCCCTCCCCAACTTGTGCTTTCTCTCAAAATAAAATTAGCTATCTAACCATACTTGCCAACACAAAAGGGGGAAAGGGGGGTGTTCTTTGTATGGAAATATATGAACATGTTCATATTATTTACATTTATAAACGTTTACTCTATAAAGCTGAAAAACTGTAGGTACCAAAACAAAATTAAATCCCAAAGCAAAGGTCAAAAGTTCAGTATTCTCCAAACCACACTTGTTATCGTTCCTATTTGATTTTACTACCATTACCTTAAAAAAAAATGTTACCTTCAATATTTTCAGCTGATTCTACATTACCACTGATTTTCTCTTTAGTCCAGTTACATATTTCTATAAACAAATCAGTTTTAGGATACCTAGAATTAACCCACATAATGAAGTAGTAAACTCATTTCAATACCAGAAATTATTTACTTACCCCTGGTTTCGTATTGGCCTTCAGGAATAAAATGATTGCTGACAAATACAATCAGAAAACAACTCTTTGTTTTCACAAAATTCTAAAATTGCTCAAGTTGGTCAAAAGATATACTGAACATTATTTCAAAAATATAAAGTTTCTTCAAATTCTCAGAAAGGAAAAGAAATTCCTGCATAAAGCATCTCAGAGGTCATTATCTTGACCTTCACCATCTGTTCGTTTGTAAAAGAAACTACATGTAAGTTTTTCCTCTAAGGTATAACTTTATAAAATTAACTAAAAAATAATTTTAAATACTTATTTGCTCAAGAATAAAGCACTGGGGCACCGGGGTGGCTCAGGCAGTTAAGTGTCTGACCAGCTCAGGTCATGATCTCACAGTTCATGGGTTGAGCCCCACGTTGGGCTCTGTGCTGACAGCTCAGAGCCTGTTGCCTGCTTCAGATTCTGTGTCTCCCTCTCCTTCTGCCCCTCCCCTGCTCTCTTTCCCTCTCTCTCGAAAATAGATGAACATTAAAAAACATTTAAAAAAAAAAAGAATAAAGAAGCATAGCAAAAAGTACGTCACTATTACTGTAAAAGTAATTCACTCTCGGCATATCGCTGAAAAAAAAATTTATTGGAAAGGCATGTCCTGACTTACCAATGGCTTATCACTGTCAAAATATGATAAAATATATGCTTTGTAAAGATATCCTGTCCAAATTCCTTCAACCTGGGTACTGTTTATAAATTATCTCCTTCCACTATATTCTTTGTTACAGCAAAGGTCTAGGGCCTGCAATACAACCTCAAAGTCCTTCCTTCAGTTGCTTAACTTCTGCTCACTATGAGGTTTTCTTCCTCATGGAAAACAATGGAAAAATGGATACAATGCTTGGGTGACATTATATCTCCAAACATGTTATTATTACAAATCTCTTTCAAGAGGTTAGGTTACAAAGACACTACAGATGGCTCTTGACAGGTACAGATAAATTGAAACCACTCCCTCCAATCCCTAGGGATAATGAAGTTGTCTTCTCGCTTACTGAAGTTAACTGTGACTGTAGTATTTCTAGTAGTCAGTAAGCATCGGAAACCTCTCAACTGCACTCTCCCCTTATTAGGATAAATAGTATACATCTTAGAGAAGATAATTCCCGCTTACATTTTTTTAACTAAATCCATGCCTACATTAAGTTCCATTATTGCTACAAGTGTTGCAGAACCAAATTTAAGAGAATGATTTTAAATTTAACTCTGGATTTAAAAATTTACATATGTCTCGAATAAAGTACAGTATGGTGACTACACTTGATACCGTGCAATATGCTTGAGATTTGCTAAGAGGATAAATCTTAAGTGTTCTCACCACACACACACAAATATTGTAACTCTATGAGGTGATGAATATGTTAAATAGCTTGATTGTGGAAATCATTTCACAATGCATACATATACATACATCAAAACATCAAGTTGGACACCTTAAGTATATATACAATTCCTACTTGTCAATTACGGTCCCCCAATAACTAGTAACATTATATGTCTAAAAAAGAAAAACACATCACAAATTTCTAAACTATCATAGAATTACATTATTTGAAATTTTAATAGCAACTGTGCCTGGTATACTTTAAAGAGCAGAAAATGCTACCAGAAAAAAAATTCTCACTTCCATATGCTGCTTCTACGGTTTTTGTTTTGCAAATAGCTTTAAAAATGTATACAAAAATGTCAGTTACAAGTGGAACTCAAAACATTTTGTGGAACAAGGTTACTTAGGAGTTCGAGAACCACCTAAAATTGGAGAAAAAAATTTTACGTCTGTACATATGGCAATTTTTTTCTGGATAAAAGGCCTATATAACTTTCAGCTTCTCAAAGGGTTCAAGATCCAATTAAAGTGTCTTGGGGAATCGTCAGGGTCAGACCACTTGTCACAGGCAACCCAAGTCTTTTTTTTTTTCTTTAAGCCTTATCTTTTTCATCCCAAATTAGGGGAGGATTTATCCCAATCTGGTGGCTCCCACACAACTTCTGAGCGATGCAGGCATGAAATGGCTGTCCGACACAAACCGCTCCCTTCACACAGTGAACGCGGCAATCTCCAAATTTTCCCTGAAGGGGCCAGGGAGAGGCAAACGCATTAACACCCCCGCCGCTCAGAGATCGATTGGCTCATGCAGGACGTGTCCTCCCCTGACGCCAGAGAGAGCTGCGGGGAGGTGACCAGGTTTCACTGAGGGGCTGAAGTCCCCTCGGGGATCACTTATGGAGGAGATGGCATCACCAGCAACCTCCTCCCGCCCCAAAACGCCCCAAGTAGCAGCTGCGGGCGTGGGCGCAGCAGACCCCGGCCCTCCCAGGCGCGCCCCAAGCCGCCGCCGCAGCACGGTCGCAGCGACCTTCCCGCTCGGGTCCCCGTGAGCCCCGTTATCCACGTCGGCCACACACCCCACGAGGGAAAAGGGAGGAGGCCGGACAACAAAGCGCAACCAGAGGAGGCCCTGGCGAGCTTGAAGTTGGGGCGCCGGGGCTGCGGCCCGGGGAGGAGCGGGCTGGACGCCCGGCCGCGCGATGCAGGGGCGGACGGGACCGGGGACGCGGCCCGCCAGATGTCAGCCCGCGGTGCCGGGGTGTCGGCAGCCGGGAGGAAACGGGGCGGGCGGGCGCGCGGCGGCGTCGGGGAGGCGGCCTGGGGCGGGGGGGGAAGGCAGGCCTGAGAAGGGAAGGGAACGGCGGCAGGGTCCCGAGGCGTCGCGGTCGGCCGCGACCCCCACACCAGCCGCGGGGGAGGGACTGTCCCGTTACTTACCCGCCGGGAGACTGCGGGCTCCGCCGGGGCTGTCCCGGCCGCCGGCCTCCGGGGCCAGGAAGCGCCCCCACATAGCGGGCGGGAGGGCCGGGGGCGTACGACTCCCCTAGTCCGTCCTCCCCCGCCTTCGCCTCCTGCTTCTTCGGCGGCGGAAACTTGTGCGGAACCGGGGGCCGCGGAGGCACCAGCAGGAGGGCGGGCGGGCGAGCGGTCTGTTTAACGGCTGCTCAGCGACGGGCGGAGAGCGCAGGGGCCAGATTCGCCGCGGCGCCGGCGGCGGCGGCTGCCATGGCCGAGCCCGCTGCGCTGAGGCCCGGGCCGAGGAAGCGGGCGGCTCCGCAGTGACGGCGGCTGGGTCCCCGGCTGAGCCCCGGCTAGGATCAGAGCCTCCAGGCGAAGTTGCAGCTGCGGCTTCTCTCCGCCCCCTCCGCCGGCAGAGCCGGAGCCGGAGCCGGGCAGGGTGGGGGCGGGGCCTGCCAGGGGCGGGGCCTTGGGCGCTTACATAATGCGTGCGCGGCGCGGGGCGGGAACTGCGGGCCGGTGCCGCTGGGTACCCTTACGCCGGTTCGCTTAGTCCGCGACTGTGGGTAGACTCGAAGCACCAGCTGCATCCCTCCCTCCCCGCCCTTGCGCTTGGTCAGACGAGAAAAGAGGATGAATAGAATGTGGCCCGGAGCGGTATCTTTCGGTACCGCCCTCGCTTGGGTAATCCCTCAAGCCCTCCGGGGCACTTCTCTGGAAAAGAAGAGGAAGACCTGTCTTCGCTGCATAACTACTGGAGCTAAGAGGCTCTCCTGAGAGGGGTTGAGGGACTGCCAGTCTTATTTGGGATAGGGATTAAAGTCATCATACATTCCAGAAACATCGTTTATAAATCGCTTTGTGGGACAGAAAAGAAGTCGTTTTCCTGAACTCGTAAATTCAGTGGCGGAGGGGGGGGGGGTCAGGGGGGAGAGGGAAGCAAAATACCTACTATACAAGAATGTGCACAGGAAAAAGCAGAAAGGAAAAAGACCAGAGGGTTCAGAGAGGAGCTGTAAATTTTAATCTAGTAGCCCAGGAATTCAGATAAGCAACCAGAGAGGAATCAAAATGGTACCAAAGTCTGTAATGGGAGTAACTTCCTTACACCCTACACCTTCTTGTTCTTCCTACATTTGGTCAGTTCCCACCCTAAACCTGGAGTACAGGAGCAAGTAAGTATTCTGGAAGGAAGCATAAAAGGGTCCACCAGCCTTTTCTTATATCTTACTTTTCATTGGCAATATTAGGATCCTTCCAATATTTAGATACAAAACAGTTCATTTAATAAGTATTGGTAGAGCACTGTAGTAGAAAGCGGGTTCTACCCCTGGCTCGTAAATCAGAGACAAACTGAAAAGGAAGTCCCTACCCTTAACAAGACTTTGAGTCCAGTGATGCCTTTGTTTGTTTTAGAAGCTTGTTAGTAATAAAGGCCTCTTATTTCTACTTAAAGACTTTTGAGTTGGGAAATACTGCTTAAAACTTTTAGAGGTTAAATTACATTTACTTGTGTAGTTTATTACTTACTACATCTGTGTTGTACTTTATTTCATTGCAGTTTTACATTTCGTCTCCCTCCAGTAGAGTTCCACTATTTCTCCAAATCATGAGTAGGCGGCCCAAGAGTCACTTTGTTCTGAGGATAGAAAGTGACAGAAATATGAAAGAAGGATATGATTGGCTACTTTTCCTGATTTAAATGTGCATGAGCTCATTTGAATAGTTTAGGCATTCAAGTTTAGGAACTTGAACAGTTGAGGTTCAGAATGAAGCCTAACAATTAATGATAATAAATTCCAAAAAGAATTATCGGAAGCTATAGCGTTATATCACAGTATCCTTTTTTTCATGATTTATAGTTACCATAGTCTCATATTAGGTACAGTATTTGTTAAACACCAAACTTTTTTTAATACAGTTCTAAGAAATGTATGAATTACAGATAAATCTTGGTCTTTTGTGAGTTTAAAATATGTTTGTTATTCCAAAAACTGCCAACTTGCATTCAATTCTAAGTAGTATTTTAGGGAAAAAAAATCACTTGCTCAAGTTTTCTACATGTTTTTTACCAATGTGAAGGGTGTGCCACTACACATGCAAAAGAACATCTGAAGCTGAGTCTATAAAATCTTTTAAATGCCTATTACAGAGTAAGAGGAAATAGTAAAAACATGTTACTTTGGCAGTTGGCACCAAAGATAAAAAATTTTGTGTTCCTACTAATTAAACTTGAAAGGATACAGATCTGGGGCGCCTGGGTGGCGCAGTCGGTTAAGCGTCCGACTTCAGCCAGGTCACGATCTCGCGGTCCGTGAGTTCGAGCCCCGCGTCGGGCTCTGAGCTGATGGCTCGGAGCCTGGAGCCTGTTTCCGATTCTGTGTCTCCCTCTCTCTCTGCCCCTCCCCCGTTCATGCTCTGTCTCTCTCTGTCCCCAAAAAAATAAATAAACGTTGAAAAAAAAATTAAAAAAAAAAAAAGAAAGGATACAGATCTAATGCAATTAAAATAACCTAAATACTAAGTGAGAATATTCTGTATGTGAAGTAAACTGTAACCAACCATTTTTTTAATCATATAGATTGTGAGTATTCTCAGAATCTGAACTCAGATTCCCCTATATCCATATAGGAGAAACAGTATCCATGTTTCTCCAAATGATTAAAATTTATCATAGCAAAGGTTTGAAAGCCTAAGAACTACTTAACCATTACCAAGCCTGATGTGGTAAACTGGCATATTTTTGGTTTGTTATGATAGTATGAAAAAAAAACTATAAGTAAAATCTTATAAGCAAAGACTGAACTTAAGTATTCCTGAACTTAAGTATTTCAGTAATTGTTCTTGTAAGCAGAGATAATAAAAGCAAATGATGAAAATAGTGACCGTGTATGTTTGTGTGTGTGTATACAAATACATGTGCTTAGGTGAAATTTAGATACTTAATATCTTGGGAGGGGACTTTTAAAAAATATAAACCAGATCACAAAAGAGTAAAATAGTACAAAACAACACCATATTTAATATCAAACTATATTAAACTTTTCATTTAAAATATTGTATTCAAGGAGCACCTGGCTGGCTCGGTTGGTGGGGAACGTGACTCTCGACCTCGAGGTTCTGAGTTCAAGCCCCATGTTGGGTGTAGAGATGATTTTTAAAAATAAAATTTTAAAAAATAAATAAAATTAAATACTATATTCAAAAAAAAGACATTATTTAAAAACAAAAATAAATGTTGCATTTGTAAATCTTTTGGAAGAGCGCCTGGGTAGCTCAGTCAGTTAAGCATTCAACTCTTGATTTCAACTCAGGTCATGATTTCATGGTTTATGAGATCAAGCCACCACCTGTCAGGCTCTGTGCGGAGAGGACACACCCTGCTTGGGATTCTCTCTCCCTCTCTTTCTGACCCTCCCCTGCTCTCTCTCTCTCTCAAAATAAATAAACTTTAAAAATATTATTTGGATATGAATCTCTGATCTGATTAAGTTAAATTATATTATATGTATTTTTCTCACATCAATTCATCATATTGGGCAAACAACAACCAGAGAATTGAAGAGTGATGTAACAAAGGATAAAACTGATATTTTAAAATGAGAAGACAATCTATCTTGTGCATAATATGAGGAAACTTCAAGAGAAGTTAATGTTTATAGAAACATAAAATATCAAAACCAACAAAATATAGAAAAATTAAACCATCCGATAACAATTTAAATAGCTCCTAAAGAACAATTGCCACTTTAGAGGGACAGATTTGTGGATGAAGACTAAAAAATTCCAAGGAACAGATAATTCTGGTGTACCAAGAGTGTTACAAGGACCGTGATATATAACCTCTTCCAGGTCACAAAAATGACAAGTTACTGAATTTATTATGGGTGGTTGTAATCTCAAATAATCATTTATAATAATGAAAAAAAGAAAACTAAGAAACTCATTCTTTTAACAATGGATTTGGAAAATCTTATTTATAGTCCTAGCAGATACATTCAACTAGAGAAAGGTAAACAGAAGACATAAAGGTCTGTAAACAGAAGACAATCTGTCTGTACCTCACTTTCCTCATCTGTGATGTGGCCAGGCCAAGAAGGTAAGGATACCTAATCTCAACTCCATGATTCCTGGGAGATACAGAAAATGAATCCCACCTGTATCTTTGGCTCCAAAGTTGGGCTGCAATGGCCAATGAGAAAGTAGGTAAGAAATGGACCACTAAATCATGGAGCAGTCCTTTGAGTGGGAGGCAAGGCTGAGAGGGATGGAATTTAAACAAAAGACAAATTTAAGTGTTCCACGGTACCATCAATGTTTACTGAAACTGCTTAGGACTGACATATTTGTGGATGGCACTTCATACATGTGTAAAGATACAAGGTCATTTACAGTGAAGGAGGACAGCAACTTTGACAATGTATAAAAAGACAAGTTCTTCCCTGTCTTCCTGTTTAGACATCAGAAAGGTAAGTGCATGGAGTAAAGTGTGCAGTCCAAGAAAGCAGCTCATGCCTTCACTAAACACACACACACACACACACACACACACACACACACACACACACAGAGTCTCCCATCTAACCTGCACTAGTGGAGAAGAGGACTGTTTTAATAACTTAAAGCGGCCAAAACATTATGGATTGGATTGAGAGAGATTCAGTGGAAAAGTGGGTTTTCAATAAAGTACAGTTGGTAACAGTAGTGGGACTTTAGAATATATATATTTAAGTGATTTGAGATCTCTTACTAAACCAGTTAAATGTTTTATGTAATCCTCACAACCATCTGTCATCAAAACAAAAATAAAAAATAATTTTTTTTAAAGATGAACAAAAGATAAAAGAGACAGACCAAAAACTGACACTTAATATAGAGAACAAACTGGTGGTTACCAGAGGGGAGGTTGGTGGGGGATGGGTGAAATAGATGAAAGCGATTAAGAGTACACTTATGACAATGAACACTGAGTAATGCATAGAATTGCTGAGTCATAATATTGTACACCTAAAACTAATATAATACTGTATGTTAATTACACTGGAATCAAAATTTTTTAAATAAATGAATAAAACAACCTGTCATTAATAGTCAATATTAGCTCCATTTTAAAGATTGGGAGAAAAAGACCCAGAGAAGTAAGGTCATACAGGCAGTAAAGAGCTAGGATTCAGATCTAATCCGTATGATCCCAAAGCCCATGCTTTTCCCATCATGCTCTTTAATATGTTGCAAAACAAATTATAAGATTTTTCTTCAGATGCCATGTGAGAAGGAAGTGCCTAATTATAGGATTTCTGTATAATGTTTAGGGCTCAGCTAAGATTGGAAACCATGTGACATTAATCTGTGGTGTTGTATGATTTTCTTTAGCTGCACCCAGCAGTTTGAGTATAGGAATAAAGA